AAAGAAGTATTTTCTCTGAATTGTCAAATGCAAATGGACTAGATACTTTCTCTGAACTTGTCAAATGTAAAGGAACTAGATATTTTCTCTGAATTTGTCAAGTACAAATAGGCTAGTTGATGAACTTGTTGCCTGTATATATTGTATATACTTATTTTGTATAGTCTTTCTTATGTTAGTTGTAGCCTTCTTTTTGTATTAGACAAAAAAGGAGAATTGTAGTGATGTATTATTTAGGATTTATTAAAATTTGACTGAGGATTCAGAAAAGCAAAGTCAGCCACAGGCCATAGAAGTCAGGCACACACTTTTAATCCCAGCAGCCAGAAGCTAGGAGGCAGTGGTACACACCTCTAATCCTAGGACTCAGGATTAAGAGGCAGAGGGATCTCTCTAAGTTCAAGACCACCCAGATCTACACAAGAGTGAATCAGTCTAAAAGAGAATTATAGCTCATACCTTTAATCCCATCATTAGGGAAGTATGTAAGACAGAAGCAAGGTCTCAGAGAGGCCTTCATTCTCCAGCCACGCCGAGGAGAGGCAGAAGTTTGAGACTTGGAGAAGAGCGCATGCCTGGGTCAGCCCTTTCAGCCTAAGCTAGAGTTGAGGGCTAGTGGCCAGCTGCTTTGCTCTTCTGATCTTCGCCTTGAAGCTAGCTACAATAACGACCAGCATGGCAAGGTATACCCATAGGTGAAATAATGGCGCCAGGCGTTGGTGGTGCATGCCTTTAATCCCAGCACTCGGGAGGCAGAGGCACACGGATCTCTGTGAGGTCAAGGCCAGCCCGGCCTCCAGAGCAAGTGCCAGGATAGACTCCAAAGCTACACAGAGAAACCCTATCTCAAGAAAAAAAAAAAAATAGGCATGACTATTATGGTGGAAACCAGCTCACTTCTGATTGGATTTAAGATCTGTCCACAGGAGGAAACTTATGCCTGCCAAAAAGCTCAGGATTGGAGAGTCCATGGGCCCCAGGGGTAAACCTGATAATGCTGTTCTGCTAAACATATATAATAGTAAATAACCCTTTAAGACAGAGGTTCACAACCTGTGGATCATGACTGCTTTGGGACTTGAACAACCATCTCACAGTGTTCCACCACCACCTGGGCCTCTAAGTTCAAGGCCAGAGTGAGTTCCAGGACAGCCAGGGCTACATAGAGAAACCCTACCTGGAAAAACAACAACAAAACAAAAAAAAAAAAAACAAAGAGAGGGGAAGTAATTGGGAGTGGAGAGGTGGGGAGTGACTCTGGGAGGAGTTTGGGAGCACTTGGGGTAAAATATCATTATGATATTTTGCATACAATCTCAAAGAATTAATAAACTATAATAATTAAAATAATAATTCCATAGCAAAGGGGTTAGAAACACGGCAGTAGTACTTATATAAAGCTTCCAGATGGGTGCTTAAAGGTCTTGGTAGGTATACATAAATATGCAAATGAACGTATTTTCCTATAATCTTTGTTTCTTCTGTCAGCCCCACCTCCCAGGCCTCTCTGGGGCAGCTTCTAGGCAAACAGGGAGCCACACCCTAGCCCTCATCCAGGATGTTGAACTATTGACCTCTTCCTGGTATCTTGAAGGAGAGAAAGAAGGGGTGGGGGTGTCAAAACTCAGTTTCCTTTTCTCCAGATTTCTCCAGTTCTCCGATGTCAAGCCACACAGGAAGGAGAGGGACACAAAGGTTTCTCTGTGGCTCACAGAGAACACAGCCATGCTCTAGTGTTTGATATGTGACCCTGGGCAGGTCTGGACAGCTCTCTATGACTCTGCAGTTGTTTTTCCTTGAAAAGGTGGGCAAGCCACAGTCAATCTGAGAAGACCTTGGCTTTTCAAAACCATGATGACACAAAGCCTCCTTGACAGGTGGACATGAAAGTGTTCCACAAAAGGGGGTGCCTAGATCTTCACTGTGTGCGGCCTGTGACTTAGTCTAGAAGGTTCCTCTTTGGGCTTTCTCTCCTTCCGTTTTGACTGGTCACCCGATGGTCTTCCCAGAAGGCATCAAAGCGATAAAAATGGCCTTCTGAACCCATGCTTTTGCCTGCTCTATTTTCTTTCCCCTCTCTCTCTCTCTCTCTCTCTCTCTCTCTCTCTCTCTCCCCCCCTCTCTCTCTCTCTCTCTCTCTCTCTCTCACACACACACACACACACACACACACATATTGTTGTTGGCTTTTTTGTTGTGTTTGGTTAGTTTTGTTGTTGTTGTTGATTTTTTTTTTTTTTTTTGAGACTGGGCTTCTCTGTAGCTTTGGAGGCTGTCCTGGAACCCACTCTGTAGACCAGGCTGGTCTCAAACTCAGAGATCCACCTGCCTCCGCCTCCTGAGTGCTGGGACTAAAGGTGTGTGCCACCACCGCCCATTGGTTTGGTTCGTTTTGTTTTTGTATTCAGAGACAGGAGTTCTTGTAATTACCCTGGCTACCTGGAACTTGCCCTATAGGCCAGGCTGATTTTGAATTCAGAGATCTACCTGTCTCAGCCTCCCAGGTGTTGGAATTAAAGGTGAGAATCATGTCGCCCTGTTTGCCTGCTTTATAATCTTTGGCACTTGACATAACACAGACTGTAGGCTCACTTCCCCCATACAGCAGAACACTGCTACAGGCTGGTGAAAAAGCCCAGAGGTGGCTTATATTATCGTGGACTTTTGTTGTTCCCATTCTAAAGCTTTATTATCCAGGCACCCCAGACGGTGTCAACCATTAGTAGGAGCTGAATAAAATCCCTAGAGAATGAATGATGACCTTTTTTGTTTTGTTTTTAAAGATTTATTTGTTTTTGTGTTTTTGTTTGTTTGCTTGTTTGGGTATTTTTTGGGGGGGTTCGAGACAGGGTTTCTCTGTGGTTTTGGAGGCTGTCCTGGAACTAGCTCTTGTAGACCAGGCAGGTCTCGAACTCACAGAGATCCATCTGCCTCTGCCTCCCAAGTGCTGGGATTAAAGTTGTGCACCACCAACGCCCCTCTGTTTTTGTTTTTTTTATATGAATGTTTGGCCTGCATGTCTGTGCACTGTTTATGTGCAGGGCATATGGAGGCCAGAAGAGAGCATCAGATCCCCTGGAGCTGGAGATACCTACAGTTGTGAGCTGCCATGTGGGAGCTGAAAATTGAAACCCAGTCCTCTGGAAGAGCAGCCAGTGCTCTCAATCCTTGAATCATATTTCCAGCCCCCAAATGAAGATGTTTGTCACAAGCCAGTCTGTCTCCCATTGGCCAACCATGTTCCTAAGCAGAAAGTTTGGGGAGCTGGAAGAGACAGACCAACATGTAAAGGGCTTGCCGGACCTGAGTTTGATACCTGAGCCCCCCACGGTAGAAAGAAAGAACTGATTTCCAAATGGTTTCATCTTACTTCCACAAGCACAAATAAGTACCTCTATTGAAAGTGGGGTGCTTTTGTCTGTCTCGGGGTGGTGGTGTTTTTTGTTTTGTTTTGTTTTGTTTTTTTCAGAGGGTCTCTCTATAAACCCCTCCACTTCCTGGAACTCACTAAGATGTTCTTCGGAATATCTGGGTTCAATTCCCAACATCCACATGGAGGCTCAGGCCCATCTGTAATTCTAAACCCAAGGGATCTGATGCCCACCATGCTCAAACATGGTACACATGAATACATGTAAGCAAAGCACTGATATTCGGAGAGTTTAGAGAAAATGCGTAGAAAAATGAAAATGCTCCCCCAAAATGCGGGCAAAACTGGAAACACACCCGAGAGAGAAAGAAACCAGATGCAAATTCTTCACCTTGCACAAAATCTATTCAAAGTGGATTAAAGACCTTAGCTTTAAACTTGCTGTCTGGCTGGGCAGAAGAGGTGCACGCCTTTAATCCCAGCACTGGGGAGGCAGAGACAGGTGGATCTCTGTGAGTTCGAGGCCAGCCTGGTCTACACAGAGAGTTCCAATCCAGCCAGGGCTACCTAGTGAGGCCATCTCGAACAAGCAACCAATAAGCAAAAACCACCTGCCAATCACTAAATGAGCCGATGAGCTGACCAAACAGTTCTGAAAAGAAGAAACACAGACAAATATAAATGGATAAACACTGTAAGTATTTGATATCCTTAGTCATCAGAGAAATACAAAGTGTAGCTACTCTGCGATTCCATCAGAAGGGGGACATCAAGGAAACAAATGACAAACGTGGGCAAGAATGTGGGGGATGGGAGCCACACATCTACTGTGGCTCCTGATTGTGGCTGTGATCCGGTGTAGCCACAGTAAAAATCGGCACAGAGATTTCTGAAAAAACAAAACAGAAAAAGGAAACCATAGGACCCTGCTCTGCTACACCTGGACAAAAGGCGAAAGGCTCTCAGCCCCACCACAGAGATGTTTGCACACCCACGGTCTTAGCTGCTCCAGTCACAATAACAAAAAAGAAAAAAAAAAAAGGGAGACCATCCCACCTGTCCACCAGCAAACACGAACATTGAAATCACGGGAAACTTATACAACAGGATTTCACTCAGAAAAATGAAACTCTCAAATATTCAGGGAAATGAACGGACAGGGTATTATCATAACCAAAAGAGGTGACCCAGACGAAGAAAGACACACCCCACAGTCTGCTCCCACGAGAGCCTAGCACACATCCTGAAACTAGAAAGCAGACCTTGAGGGGGAAAAAGAGTTTTGTGGGAGGCAGGGGGAGGTAGGAGGAGAAAACAACACACGCCATGAAACTGGAGAACTAGCGGGAGAAAGGGACAGGGGTGGGGTGGGGACCCAAACTCTGGATGCAATTAGAGAGTCTAACAGGTTGGGGACTAAAAAGAATAAGAGAGTAACTTCGGGGTGAGTTTGACACCTGCACACTTCCCACCCACAGGAGCTGGAGTCTTGGGTACTCTGACTCTGAGCCTCTCCTGGGCAGCTCTTGGGGATCCTTCCTGCTCCCTGTGTGGAACACTGCTCAGAAGGGAGGTCGTTCTACACCTGTAACTTCCTGCACCTCAGAGAGAGATCAGCCACAGGACTCAACCAGGACCGGAGCCTGTGGCCTGAAGCTGCCCTGTTCCCAGCTTCCTGTGGGAAGGCTCATGACTCACCTTGGTCCAGGTGCTCTTGGTCCTTGTCATTTTCTCTTTCACTTTAATGTCCCACCTGCTCTAGCCCCGCCCTGCTCTGGGCTTCCCCAGTCTGGGCTCTCCTGGTGGCTGGTGTCATTCTCCAGCCTTGTTTTCACTTTTCCTACATCAGCTGGGCCTGCCCAGGAGACGATACAAGTATGGAGCTGGGATGGCTGAGCACACACAACTACAGCGGCAATGTCTCAGTGGAGAGACAGAGAAAGCCTGAGAGCCACACACGGGAAGACCCAGGCCAGAGACACCGAGCAAGACCAAGGAAGCCAGGGACAGCCTCGAGGGCTCACCCGAATCCCCAGATCCTCACAGACCCCAGAGAGCAGCATGAAGCCTGGTGAGTCCCCAGACTGGTGCTCGGGGGGCGCGTCCACAGCCCCCTCCTCCAGCCCTCACTCTGTCCTTCTGTCACACTGAAACAGCTGGGGGCCGCCTGCTCCTGCTGCTGCTGCTGCTGGCCGCGGTGCTGACGGGAACCCGCGCTGCTCCTGTGCCCAGGCCGACCAGGCTCCCACCAGATGCAAAGGACTGTCACATAGCCCGGTTCAAGTCTCTGTCCCCTCAAGAGCGGGAGGCATTCCTGAAGGCCACGGATGCCATAGTGAGTCTCCCTCTGCCCTCCTGGGTGGGCTAGCCTCCACCTCTCTCCTTTGCTGGGCTTAACCCCTTATGCTATGTTAACTGGTGTGAAAGTTCTCTCCACACTTGCACAGTGGGCTGACTTTGACTCTTGCTAGAGTGGGCTAACCTCAGCCGTTCCTGCAGCGGGTTGACTGCCACCCCTGCTGCAGTGGGCTAGTTCCCACCACGCTTTCAGTGAGCTAACCCCAGACTCTCCCACACAAGGATGACCTCCACCCTCCCCCAACTGCGCTCCTATTCTGGCTCTGAGTGCAGTCGCTACCTATAACTGCTGCCATGAAGGAGCCTCTGTCTCCCTGGCAGTGAGCTTTCCTTTTGCTGCTGTGGCCACCCCTAGCCCTTCTGCGATGGTCTAACCTTCACCCTCCTATGTGGGCTAACCCGTGCCTTTGCTCTCCAGGAAAAGTGGCTGCTCAACAAGGATGTCAGGTGCAGCTCCCGCCTCTTCCCCAAGGCCTGGGACCTGAAGCTGCTGCAGGTGAGCTGGGGCTAGACACAGCCTGCTCTCAGTGGGCCGTCCATCCGGGTGCTGTTGGGGGCTCCACCCTCCTTTCTCTTCCTCACTAACAGTCCATGACGGGTCCACAACCTGAGCACATTGGCTGCAGCCCCTCATCTGTCATCTGCCCTGTCCCTCTCACTGTCCCCCTGCCCTGTCCACTGCCCTGTCCCCTTCTCGATCTCCCTTGACTCCCCCACCCCAGGTCCTCACATGCCCTCTCTCCTGTCTCCTTGCTCAGGTCCACGAGCGCCCCAAGGCCTTGGAGGCTGAGCTGCACCTGACACTGCAGGTCCTGGAGAACGTGACTGACTCTGCTTTGTACCCCATCCTGGAGCAGACTCTTCACACCCTGACACACATCCACTAGCCACCGCCTCTCCCGCTGGCTGCACCGGCTCCGGGAGGCCCAGGAGAAGGTGAGTCTGGGGAGGAGACCCGGGGTCTGCAGAGCCTGGGAGCCCTGAGCCCCAGCAGCCCCTGAGCCAGCTCTGTCCTTTCAGGAGACCCCGGGCTGCCTGGAAATCTCTGTCACTTCCAACCTCTTTCGCATGCTCCTCCGGGACCTGCCGTGTGTGGCCCGTGGAGACCAGTGTGCCTGACTTTGGACTCTCCTGCCAGCTGCTGGAATTCTTCCGTGTGCGGACTCACCAAGCCCCTGCCTTAATTTATAGCCACTCATGACTTTTTAAAAAGTATTTATTGTGTGTGGGTCCTCAGACTCCACAAAATGTCTATTTTTCTACTTTTGGAAGCATTTTATAAATACAGAGTGAGAAAAGACCTTTGTGGTGTGTTGTGTGTGTCTTTCCTTTGCTGTCATGGCAAAGGACCACAACTTCAGCTCTACAGAGCTGGGCTAACCTGGGCTACTGCTTTCTGCCTCTGGGTGAGGAGCAAATTGTTTCTAAGGGATCTTCCTCAGTTGTTCTGGGAAAGTCTCTTTTCTGTGGTCCCAGGTGTTGGCAGCTGGCTTCTCTTTGCTCTCCTTTCTTTAGCCTTTTGAGACAGGGTTCTTGTAGCCCAGGATAGCCTCCAGTTTGCTATATTTCTGTTTCTCCCATTTCCCCTCTGGAATGCTGGGGTTGCAGCCATGCACCACCATGCCAGGCACTAACAATAGCCACTCTTGCTTCACCAAAGGTGCCCTGGTGGATAAAGTCCCCTGTACTCTGTCATCTCTTCTGGAACCTTCCTGAAGACAAAGTGTGCTGCTCAGAGGGGTGACTCAGCATTCCGTTCCCAAAGACAATGGTTCATGATGACACACAGTCTCCTGTAGCTCAGAGACTGCCCTCAGACTGACTGTGTGGCTGTGGGTGCCCTTGAAGCTGTCATCCACCTACATGCTGGGATGACAGGCACGTGCCATCACATCTGGCTTTCAGCCATGCTGGGGATTGCACCACAGCTCCATGCATGCTAGGCAAGGACTGACCCAGAGTCACACCCTCGGCTCCCCTCATGATGAACCTTCTCCATGGATGTTGGCAGCATGGGCTGTTTACCGCCTTGACCTTTAACACGGGCAGGCTTTCTGAACTACCAGAGAGACCAGAGGTTTCCCACAAGGATGCACATGTGTCCTTTTGTGACAGTCTGTACCTGGCATCCCTGCACTCTGGAGCTGGAGGCAGGGAGTCAGTTCAAGGTCATCCCTGTCTACTCATTGAGGTTGTGGCCAGCCTGTGCTACATGAGACCCTTGGCATCTGCCCTGAAATGTTCATCTACTGTCTACAAAGTGGTACTGAAAACACTGCTCACATGTGCCAGTGGTTGCATTGGAAAGCATCTTCCAACAGGAGCATCCTAGAACCCTCTTGTTTCCCAGCCCCTCCTCTCCTGTGTCCTGTGTGATGTAGGCCTGAATGTCACTCAAAGTGATGTCATTTTTCCTGTATGTTTGTGTGTGTGTGTGTGTGTGTGTGTGTGTGTGTGTGTGTTCATGCTTACACACACGCACATGTATGCAGGTACACGGACACACGTATGTGTGTGTTCATGTGGAGGATGTCAGTGGCCATCAGGTGTCCCCTCCATCAGTCTCCACTTGGTTTCTGGAGGTGGGGGTCTCTCAGTGAAGCAGAGCTCATAGACAGCTTGCCCTGGGAACCCCTGTCTCCACCTGTGAGTGCTAAGGTCACAGGGAGGGTCACAGGCAGGCGTCATGCCCACCCAGCTTTTCCATGTGTTCTGGAGATCTAAACCTCAGTCCTCACACTTGAGTGGCAAACACTTTTCCAATGAGCCATCTCCCTGATGCTTGTGAGTTTGATTCTAAAATGCCTCTTTCAAGAGACTGCCTTTCAAGGCTGACCAGATGACTCTGTGGTATAGGTACTTGCCACCAAGCCTGATAGCCTGATGTAAGTTTAATTCCAAAACGGACATGGTGGGAGGAGAGAACTGGTCTGAAAGTGGTTTGTTGCTTGTTGGCCCAAGTACACAACACACACACACACACACACACACACACACAGAGAGAGAGAGGAGAGAGAGAGAGAGAGAGAGAGCCACACATTCGCACCTATCTGCACTACTGCTATTACGTCATGTAAAAAAGACATGAAGGTGATAGCGCTCGCCCTTAATCCCAGCACTCAGCATGCAGAGGCAGATGGATGTCTTTCAGTTTGAAGCCAGTCTACATAGCTAGTTCTGATTGGTAGAAGCAAGGTGCCCAACCTAAGGACTTCAATTCTGGGGATTCAGGTGGTAGAAAGAGAGAGCCAACTCCCGTGATCCCCCGGGGCTGCTGTGAAGAACCGTTCTCACAGACAGACCATGCCACAGCATCTCCAAAACTCCCTATCCTCCTCAGTGCCATTGCGGGCGCACAGGACAAAGGAACCCTATCTTCATCGGGTGCAGAGATCAAAACATTTCCCCTGTGAGGCGCTAATTCCCAGCTTCCGCCTTGGCATGTTGAGAAACGTCACTGAGGCAGCTCTAATAACTGCTGTAACTGAGAAGCAGAAAGAGATTGGAGATGCCTGGCAGGAGATAGCAAGGCATGAGAGCAGCTGCCAGGGTTCCTGGGACAGGAACAGTGGCTGTCCTGTGGGCCACATTGTGACAGGTGTGTGGAGTGGGAACATGGCCTTCAGGTGTCCCTCTGCCCCAGCGATGTGACTGTGTTACTCCGAATAGCATAATCGCACAGGGCTGTGACCCAGGGTGTGGGTGCTGGTCCAGGAGCACTCCAGCTCTAAGGGTGACAGGAGAGTATCGTCTTTGTCCTCTGTGACTTACTTCAACCTGTAAATATCCGCAAAGATCATTTACAGTGTAGAAACATCCGACTACCCTTCCTTTTCAAGGTCATGTAACATCTCATTGTACATGGAGGCCTTAGGACCCTATGCCAACACATTCATCCCTTGTTAGAAGTATTTTTTTTTGAGTGGTTGAGCCATTAAGTCCACAGCAATGTGTTGCAGCAACCAATATAAGCCAGAGATGGTACATATCAGTGGGAGTCACTGGTCCACTGCCTGTCAGTAGGGGTGCTGATGCACCTAAGCAGCAGTGTACAGACATGGGGCAAGGTTGATGGACAGCCAAGAAGAGAAGCAGCCCAGGGGCAGCTCCTGCTAGAGCCACTGGGGTCTCAGAAGTGACGTGGACTGGTCCTTTTCATTTCTGAGAACACGGGTTCTGAAATGTACTCTGGCCAGCCCCCAGCTCAGAGAGGAGCAGGGCTGCTCTCTCTGGTTTTCTGTTCTTGTTTTACTTGAACCCAACTGGATGGAAACTCACAGACAGATAGAAGCTTGATTTCCAGATCTGGAGCAGAATAGAAGAGAAGCTAGGAGAAAAAGAGAGAGAGAGAGAGAGAGAGAGAGGCACTCGGGAGGCAGAGGCAGGAAAATCAGAAGTAGAAGGTCAGCCTCAGGCATGAAGTGAGTTCCAGGCTGGCCCAGGATACATGAGATCAGAGAGGGGAGGAGGAGGAAGGAAAAGAAGGGGAGAGGAAGAGAGGGAGGGCGAGAGATCCAGTTGATTTTGTTTTGTTTTCTTGAGACAGAGCCTGGCTAGGTAGTCCAGGCTAGCTGTTAACTAATGGTCATCTTGCTTCAGTTCCCCCCCCCCCCCGCCCCCAAATGACACCCCAGGGTTTACACACATGTGCTACCATACCAGGTAGTTGGCTCTTGCATAAAGCAATCTAAGGTGTCAGGTGGCTTAGAGAGATATCAGGAAAGTTGAAAATGTTGACCATTCTACGTTGACCATTCAGGCACAATGGCTCCAAGAGCCTAGCTATAGACACGAGCCTCCAGGGAACCCGTTTCTTCCTAAGTCAGGATGCTGGCTGCTTAATTAGGAACTAGTTTTCACCAGTATGAACTGAAAGCCCCATCAGCCAGGAAGTGCCACAGGGATAGACTGACAATCACCGAAGGATTTCCAGGAGGAGAAAGAAAAAAATGGCTGATTTGCCAACTGCTGTGTGGCTTCCTCCAGGCCCACTGTTCATACCTTGTAAAATGTGTGCACCTGATTGGAGGTGCAGAACCTAGCTGGATGGCAGTCTGAGAACATGTTAGTTCTTCAACCTCTGTAGTCAGGACGTGTAGCCAACAAAGTTCATGAACACACAGAATGAGGAGATCATTCTGTCCGGTGTGTACAGTGGTCACCCCAGCATTCAGGAGAATGGTGAATTCAAGTCCAGCCTGGGCTACGTAATGAGTTGCAGGCCAGTGTACATAGCAAGAACCCCATTCAACCCTAAAAATAAATACAGAAGGAAGCTAACAAACGTAAATAATTTAGGAGACTCCTTAGTAAGGCATCAGTACTGAAGAAATGTCGTTCTGCAGTGAACAGCTTCTGCAGTGAGCGGTTCCACTCCCTGTCCGTGGTCCTGAAAACTCATGGCTCTCTGGAGCCTAAGGAAGGCTGTGGGAAGGACTCTGGACCCGTTTTCCCCAGGAATTCTGAACCAAGAGAGGCAATGGTGGTAGAAAATAAAAAAAGAGAGCCTGGGGTTATGGAGAATCTATAGGGAAAGGTCTCAGAGAAATGAAGAGGGCTAGGTGTCTGCTGAACCACACATTTAGCATTCTGGCACTTAGGAGGAACATAGGTTCCAGGCCAGCCTGGGCTATAGAGTAAGACCCTGTCTGGAAAACATGAAGGGGTCTGGAGAGATAAGTCAATCTGTAAAGTGCTTGCCTTGCAAACTTGAGAACCTAAGTCTGACCCCAGAACCTGTGTGAAAAGCTGGGCACGGTGACATTGAGGAGGCAGAGACAGGAGATGACTACTCTCTCAACAACCAGGCTAGCCTAATGGGTGAGCCTCAGGTTCAGTGAGGGCCCCTGTCTCAAATAATAATAGTAATAACGATAATGGTAATAATTAAAGGGAAAAAAGGACCAAGATGCCACAGAGAGCACAGCATTTGCTGTGCAAGCCTGACAGCCTGAGCTTGGTCCCTGGAACCCACATAGAGGGGGGAGGAGAGAACCAACTCCACAGACTTGTCCCTCTATCCCCCACAAGCACACCATGCACAAACACCGCATTTACATCCGATAATAGCAAATAAAACAACTCCTTAAAAAATAATGGGCCTGGGCGGTGGTGGCACACACTTTTAATCTCAGCAACCAGGGAGGCAGAAGCAGGTGGATCCCTGAGTTAGGAACAAGAAATTCTAGGACAGCCAGGGCTATACAGAGAAACACTGTCTTGAAAAACAAAATAATGGTGATGATGATGATGAAGAAGATGATGATGAGAATGACATCCTGAGGAATGACAGGTGGTGTC